CTGGGAAACCTATTTCAAAAAACTCTTCTGGAAATAACGTTGGTTATGAAAACATGCATCCAAGTCTCCTCTTTCGAATGACGAAAACCGTACGTCTCCATCTTGTTCCTGTCAAAAGTTATTCAGAAAACAATCGAGTGCCTTGACTTCTGGAACGGATAATAGATACATCTAGTAATTAACCGTACGATTCACCATCCAGCTGTTTGAAAAAGAGGATCGCTAAATGTAAAAAGCGATGTAATGAGTTTTCAATCGAGAGAAAAAAAGGAACACAGCTTGTGCAGAGATACGGACTCTGTACCTAGAGATCAGGGCGTCAGTAGTCTTCTATATACACCATTATATTACACGAGCTTACACAAATACATACACATTTTTTCGTTCTGTTTCTTATTATGAATAAAATTAACAATTTACAAAATTAAAAATAACTAACTAACAATAATTAGTGCATCTACTAATCACATCTAATATTAAATGTGGGAAATTAAATTTCCCACATTTAATATTTTAGACTCGAGTGTAAGAAATGCCGATGCATCTACTTGAACACCGTTTTAAGCGAGGGGGAAACAGCAGCTTCACAGCTCCGATAATAGCAAATGGATCCACATGGGTTCCAGTGAGCCCCACTCGGCTCCAGTGAGTTCCAGAGGGTTTTCTGTCGCTCTGGAGAGCATTGAGGCTAATTTCTTAGTAACGATTCTTTCCTTTTTCGTAAAAAATTATAACTTTAAACACATTCTACACAAAAAGCAGTTATGGATCAAACTTTCATTTAATAAAAATAGACTTGCTACAGAATTGTTCAATAGTATTATAACTTACACAAAAATTGCATCACTGTCGCTAGAATTATCAAGAGTGAGGTAACTGATGTAATTCAAAGAGATAAACAAACGTTTACAGCCCACAGTAGTCGAAGTAAAATCAATTAGAGCGGCAGAAACCCTCCGAAACTCATCGGAGCTGAGTGGAACTAAATGGAACTGATCGACGCTCATTGGAATGCATGTGGGACTGAGTGAAGCTACTTGGAACTCATGTGGGGCCATCTGAGCTGTAGAGCTGCTTCCTCCCCTTCGTCAACTCTGCTGAGTTCCACTAGGTTTCTACTGGTATGGGGAGCAGTTTTTTCTCTCCCGGCTTTAAGTCATTTCTATGCCATCCTAGCTTTAAAATGCATCTGGTATAAGGCGATTTCCAACTAGATGTAATTAGTGATACATCACTTTATTGTAAATGATGAGAAACAGTAGTTATCGTTTTGCACCGTGCAGATCGAGTTGTACAAAGTTACGTTTAGCAGATAAAATTAAGGAAATTCAATTTGCTACATTTAATATTTTAGACTCGAATGTAAGAAATGCTTCCGTCAAGTTAAAAACTGAAAATTAGCTTAAAAAAGTGATTTTTTTCTACGAAGAAGATGCTTCTCAAACCTGAGCCTAGCAGATTAAATGTAGCAAATTGAATTTAAAATTGCTACTAGATACATAACTAGATATATCTGGAAATGAATTGGCTGTATCTAGACGTGTCGACCGATAACCCGATGCAGCTTTTCTCTTTTTTATGCATCTAGATGTATTGCATTTTGTATCTAGCTGTATTGGACGATACCCGATATATTTTTTCGTGCTTGAGTGGTGAATACTGTTTATGTTCCCGTTCCTGACAATCTTCCGATAGATTTAAGCGATCTTAAACCTGAGGACCTGTCATTAACATATGAAAGTGGTGGTTTACTAATACAGACAAATCATCAGCATCTTCAAAATACAACCCGGTCGATCGTTAGTCCTTTATTCCGTTTCTTATGTTAGTATAGCTATACACAATTTACAATTGTCTTACTTGTAACTGCCTTGTTTTGTAATTGCATTAACACTAACATATAAAGTGTAAAAACAAAAACTTCTTCGAGCTTCCCACGTCCTGAATATAAACGCATAAAAAAATGTTGATGAGTAAAACGAACATGAAGAAGTTTTATTTTTAGTACTACAGAGGAAAAATGCGCCTCAACTGGGAATCGAACCCAGGACCCTCTGGTTACAGGCCAGAAGCAGAGTTGTTTAGTATATGTATAGTATGATATTGAAGTCCATAGTAGGTATGGATTTCTGAAATTTCTGACGCTGTTGATAGTTGACGTATATGCACTATCTATCGTGGTATGAAGAAGGAGAAACCGGAAGGGAAAAATTCTTTTAATTGTATAGTATGTATGTTGTGCAGTGGAAGAAAAGATAAAAAGAAATCGTGTTTGAGGCTGTTTCGTGCATACCTGCCTGCCTATTCGTATAGTAGATTATAGGATGAGAAAAGAAAAACTGTTGTGTATGGTTTGATAATATGTTTGTACAGTAGAAGATGTTTGTGCAGTCTATGTAGTACATACATGCATATACATATACTGCAGCGTATGTAGTACAGGCTTGAAATCCCTGAAATACTGAAATCCTAATATCACTCTGTGATTATATAGATATATATATACATATACTGCAGTGTGTAGGGGGGGGGGGTGGTGTTGGTTGATGAGAGTGAGGTGCAACCCAATATTTCTTATGATAGTTACTGTGGATATTGACTACATTTTCAGAATGTATAAGCGGCGGAGTATGGTGCAATATTGTCTGGTCCCCATCAGTCGGTATGTTGAAAGTGCGGATGAGGATTTCGCGAATTTGTGGGACTTCAATATCATTTGGTTACGAGAGTAGACAACCCTTGCCAGAAGCTCTAACCGCTGAGCTATCGAAGCACAGTCTAATCGCATTAATCCTCTGTAGTATATGATAGATCCATAGTGGAAGCATTTTTTAATGCTTTGAAAGACGAGATTCGGTAACTTGTTCTGTTATTTTGTATTCTTTATATCTTGGGTACTAAGAACACTCGGAGGTGACGATTGTCTTATTTTGCGAAAAATGTGTTTAATAAATCTCAGACCTCAGAGTTGTCTGAGATTCTCGGTTGTGGAGGTATATCCACGAAGTATAGACATACATTGTTTAAAGACAGAAAACCTTGTAAGAACAGTGTTGAATGTTTTCGCAGCAACATTTTAACCAATGATTGTACGTTGCTCTAAGATCTGAGAAAATAGTACACAAAGTGTTTCCTTCCTTCCCTTACAAGAGTCCTGAAATGATTCGCGAGATCACGTTGAAGGTGTGAATTATAAAATGCTCTCAAATTATAAAAAGTCCAAATTGATTGTAACACATTGAAGTTAATTATTTTGATTCTGTATGTCACTACAATTTCTAACCTTTGATGCAGCAATTTCTATAATAAAACCTCTTTTGACACTAGTATTAGAAGAAAGAAGGAACGTCTAATCTCGAAGTATTCTGTCTTTTTTCATGCGCTCATGTTTATTTTCTAATGAGTAAGAGTAATTCTTTTTTACACTGCAATTAATTTTTTTTTATATTCTGTCAAAACGGAAGCACAATTCTTTCTCTTAATCACATACGCAATTACGATCAAATTAAACATACTTTTCAAATATTGAAAAGGAAAAGAAGACTCTCTTCCCTAAAGTTAGAGGATAAGCCAAGATTGTGCTCAATTGAAAATATCTTTACTCTTTTTATAATGAATAATACAACGACGGATATTGTACGAGAAAGCTACTTTTTCTATCATGTATCATATGTACCGATATTAACAACTTCAACAGTGGTTGGCACATGTTTTGCCATTTACAATCTCCAACAATACATGACTAATCGTGATATACGTACACACTATTTTACCGGTATATTTTACTTGATGTTAATCTATTGTCTTATAACAAACGTTACTGTAATACCATTGATATTCTCAGAGTTTTATCTATCTTGGTTTTCACAATCTCGTACCAGATGTTCACTGTATAATCTAATATCAAACGTTTGCTCAATAAATATATCATATTTGATGGTCTATACGGCTATTGAAAGACATTTTATTTTATTCCGTAAAAATGCTTTGTTATCCATGAAACGCCAATTAATACCGTTTATGCTTGTTTTAGTATCTAGTTTAATTTTCATGATATCATTTCAATATATTCCAAAATGTCATACAAAATCCAATTGTCAACCATGTTATATGATGTACAGTAATTTAGAAAATATTTATCTTTCTCTTGCTGTTTATACTCCGTTTGTATTTATGATTGTAGCAACGATTGTTATTTTCGTTCGTCTATATTATCATCAACGATTATTTCGTTACAGACGTAATTCATCTCGTAAGATTTTGTTCACTTTACTCACGTATATATTATGGCATATTCTCTATCAATTACCATTACAAATTCATAATACATTGACGAAATTCTATCCAACAATATCAGCAAAACAAACCTTAACATTAGCAATCATTTTACATTTAATGTTTCGTCAAACATATCCACTGCTAACCTATATTCTTTTTCGAGACCAACGAGTATTATCGAAAAGAAATAGAAGTATGCCGATGAAAACACTTGTTGGTAAACGCAGTGAATTACTAACAGCTTTTTATTAGGAAAACATTAGTAATAAACGTCAAATTTACATCACACATAATCTCAGTTCACACTATGTTAAAATTTAAAACATGATTTTTCGCAGAATTTATCTAATTTATATTGACTTTCGCTAACGGCTCTAGTGCGAATTGAGTGCTATCTACTTTATCAAGTTATGAGCTTTCCTCTTTTACATAAACCGGAATATGTATAGTACTTCATAAAAGTAACCCCTCATATAATTCAAAAATCACGGTAGCTAGGTGCTTCTAATTTTATGTGGACATAGCTCTAGCCGAATGTTGATCATCAGCAAGTTTAAGTCTCGATTAATAGGTTCGTGGAATTTGAACATTTCATAAACGACTTATGACTTCTGGCTCAAGAGTGATGAAAACGTTTTGTAAAAATGTAGTTTCGACTCTCGTCTATCTATAGCATGAATTTAAACTGTTAGCTCATAATGGTAATTGGAAAGCAGCTATTTTACGATCGAGAGTCACTTTTGAAACATAAGTTCTTTTTAGAAAAAAATTATAACTTAGTCTGGGAGCATTATTTGGATTTCAAACTCGTACTAACTACCCCAGTACATCTGTAGATTATCCAGTCAAAGTATGAAGGTTTAGCATTCTATGATTGTGAAAATTCAGAGGAAGGTTAGGAGCTAAGGGTTGCACTTTCTGCTGTGGAACCTGTATTCAATGTACATGATAATCATAAAAAAAGATGATCATAGAAACTTACAGCGAGGTAAAATACAGGTGAAACAGTGTGAGGTAGAGTCAACACTCAGTTTCCAGTCAATGGTGACGATGAGTCACAACTTACTGGATGAACTGTCAGTTTATTGCAGAATTATAACTAGGTATGCACCGGTATCGGTATTCATACCAAAATACCGATACCGAAAATACCAATACCGACAATACCGAACTTCGGTATATACCGATACCGAAAATACCGACTTTTGTCACTTAGAATTTTTTCGATTTTTTCATTTGAAATGAGATGTTTTAGCGTCCTGGACACCCAGAATGAATCAAGGACGGAAAACAAGAGCTTTGTTTGCTTTCTAAAGCCAAAATTTTCTTTTTCTTTCTATCTGCACATGCTCAAAATACACAGCTGAGTGTTGTTTATAAGTTCTGCTTGTCCAGGATGCTAAAATACCTCATTTCAAATGAAAAAATCCAAAAACATCCAAGTAAAAAAAAGTCGGTATTTTCGCTATCGGTATATACCGAAGTTCGGTATCGGTATTTTCGGTATTCGGTATACCGATACCGGTGCATACCTAATTATAGCTGATAGAGTCCTGCCGTTACAATGTATCGCTACTATAATAAAAAAAAGGGGAAGAACAGGACGAAAATATGTAATATATGAGTAGCAATAGTAGGACGTGTGAGAGTGACAAGCGGTACAGCTGAGCTTAGAAACATTGTGTGTTTTTTATGTAATCAACAAGAAGTCTATGCAATACTCAAAGTTTTGAACTGTCTACATTTTCGAATTTATCTAGAAAAAGACGATTGTTTAGTGTGAAAGGTAACTCAGGTGCGATATTACACCAGTCATTCTTTACTTTTGAACGAAGATGACTATAGTATGAACATTCTAAGAGGAAATACTTAGCGTGAGATGAAGTATAGGTCAAAAAGTCAGCCTCTATTTCAACTATTAGAGATTCTACCAAGCTAGATGACCTCTGCTGAGAGTTTTAAGTGGGTTTTCTCTACTAGTTTAACTATCCATAAAAGAGCACTGTAATCGTGCTTTGCAGAGAACTTCTAGCAATACACAAAACGCTTTTCGTGACCTTTTTTAAGCTACAGAAAAGACGTCAACAGTATTGATATTATTTTGTACATTCCGGGAAATATGTCAGCTGCAAATGCATACACAGTGTGCCTCGTCTGAGAGACGAAAAAGAATCAAAATCTGATACAGGAAGGGCTTTATGCTCACTGAAAGGCGGTCTTTTCATCCCATTCACGTAGCATTACCCACCCACAAGTACGAATAAGTAAGAATAACCCGAAACCGAGCTTTGCTCGCAAACATAACTTCTTAGAAATAGGCATTTCATTGGGTCTATCTACGATAGTAGGGGCGGCTGTTTACTAGTTACTCGGTGTTACTTTACCAGTAAAGTAACAAAAATTTGTTACTTGTTACTAGTAATTAGTAACCACAAATGCTAATTGGTTACTTTGTTACTTCTGGTAAAGTAACAAAAAACAAGCTTTTTTTTGTTTGCTCATAAAAACTTTCTTGAAAGAGGTTTTGTGAGGGTGAGGATGAGGGTGAAATACGTGCTAAAAGATGGTGGAAAGTTTTATTTGTACAGCTAACAAATATTTCGAAATAACGTCTTCAAGCGAGTCATCCAGTGAAGAATATAGTATGGATACTGATGATGAAGAATTATCTCTCAATGAAAAACTTTGTCTGACCGATATTGGCGATGTTGCTGATATGTGCAAGTCGAAATGTGACACGAAATATCTTAGCACTTTGCTTTATATGTCTTTAGGTTTCTTCAACATTAAATGGGAAGATGTCGATAAGTATTTGAAGAGTATTGGTTTATGACCGCGAAAACTTCTCATAAATGGGCAACAGTGTTTATCAAAGGTGATTATGAAGAGTTTCCAAATGATTTACGTGGTGGCAAACAAACGGACTTCTTTTATGATACATTTCCCGAAATTGAATCAGATGCTAGAGCATTCATTGTTCAAGCATGTTCGCAAAAATCAGCGGAGTTTAAAGCAGCGGACCTGGCTCAGTTCATCGATACAAAATATTATGAACTAATCGGAATTCAAAAACAAATTGGAGATGATTTGATAAGATCGGAAAGAAGTTGTCGTCTGAACCTCCGTAGGTGGGGAGCTAAATTCGAAGCGAATTCACAACGTCCATATTTTGAAGGACATGAAAGAGATGATGTGGTGAAACACCGTAATGAGTTTATTAGTTATATTCTAACACATAACGATTCTTATTACACCATTACTGATGGTGACCAGAGACCAGGATTTGGGGGGGGGGGGTATGGGGGAGTGCGTCCCCCTCATAAAATTTAAAAGAACAATAACAAGGTAATTACTGAGTAACTATGCAAAAAACAGAGTTTACACCACCTCGAACGTGAAATTTAAAATAAAGTTTACACTATCTCGGACAAAAAACTTTCGTTACACCCCACCCCCAATGTCCGACACCTACTCAGGTCCCTGATGGTGACACACCTATGTGGAATTTCCCAACTTATTCCAAATTTAATCTATAGGCAATAGGCAAAATCCAAATTATTTCTCCGATTTTGGCGTTCAATCGAAGCATATTCTCAAGGTCAAACATATGCTGATGTGTTAAAGTTGTTTTTCAGTCAACTTTGCAAAACATTAGTCCAATCACACCGTAGAATATCAAATAAAAATATAAACGAATCTTAATGAACATATTATTTTTCATTTCAGTACATTTATTGAATTTGTTTCCGTTCATATTATATACCCAACCATAAAGGATCATTAATATATCCATTAAAGATCATAAAATATCGATTCATATAAAAAAACTATGTCTTTTCAAGAAAAGGATTTCTAGCAGACCCCCTCTAAAGATCTCGAAAATATGTCCATTCGATTCGCTATTAGTTTTTACCTATTCGAAGCGATTTTCACTCGGTTTGAAGAGAAAATAGTCATTTTATTCATAGATGACCTTCCCCTTATCGTACCATAACAGTAAAAGTGACTTTTCTCAACACAGGAAAGAAAAGAAAAAAAAGGATACGTAACTTTGTAACTGGTGGTATGATGAGTCGAATGAGATAAAACATTTGCCTTTATCACTTACGTAGAAAAACTAGATAGGTTTACAAAATCGACCAATATGTGGTGCACTCGACGCGATTCGAAACGCCACCATCAGTAGGGTTTGGGGTCCAGAGTCGATTTAAGAACTTTTTTATATTCAGTTTTTTATGCTGAATCTGGGAAAATTATGTTCAGAAGCAAAAAAGAAGAATGAAGTAGAAAATTTTGCACATTTCGAGAAATTCGTGTTTTTCTCGAAAACGACATCTATCGAGTATTTCGTATTTTTCGACCAGAAGGAAACATTTGCTAAGGCTAAAAAGTAGTTTTTCGTGTTCAGCAGCTTAAGTTCTATCGATTGATGCAAAGAAAACACGAAAAAAAAAATTTACTGGAAATTCGCATTGCCGGCACCTTACCGAGAAGTACAGAAGCATGCTTTCCCCCCTTGTACCTCGCCTAAAAATTCTTTGTAATTTATACTCTTCCCAAAATTCCGCAGATATTATACTGTTGATGAACAGCCATCAAGTGTACAAAAATATTCAGTATAAGAAATAATTAGTTTGAACCTGTTTTATAAACAATTTTAAGGCTCTTATTTAACACTTCGTTATCGATTCGTTGTTAATTAGTTTGAATACATTTCATAAACTACGTTATTGTTCTTATTTAAAGTATTCGGTGAGCAAGTGTCCGATGAGGATCTGCCCAAGCGAGCATCAGTCCATGCGAGCAACTTGTCATACGAGCAACTGTCATAAACCCGTTTATTTTCTTTCTATGCATACTCTAGACAGAGATATAAAGTAGAAAATGGAGAAAAGAACAAACTTTATCGTTTTATCCAAAAGAAAAATTCCCTTTACTATCAAATTAGTGTTTTTTTGGACAACTTCCGAGATTAAAAAGTTAACAAATCTGAAAGTACCCTTATCCAGTTTTTCTGTCAGTTCGTAGTATACAACTTGTACTCTATACCATGCTGTCTTTTAGAAAAAGATACT